CCAACCCCTCCTGAATACCCCATTATGTCTCTGTGCCTCAGCACCAACATTCCTTGTGTCTTGCCCCCGTTTTTACCTCACCATCTCCATCGCGCTCTGTCTTTTTACCTCTCTGTCTCTCCATGTCTTTCTACTGTTTGTCTCTCTGTCTCTGTCTCCGTCTCCGTCTCCTGTCTGTCTGTCGCTCCGTCCCTTGTTTATTGTTTGCCTCGATTAATCAGCGCATTTAATATGCGGCGACGCACTGCAGCAGAGAGAGCACGGATCCCGGACTCCAGACCCCAGACCCCGAGACACCAGATACAATGGACCCCGTACCCCGGACTTCAGGTTTAATCGACTACGAACCCAACTAACCTGTTGATTTTGTATGGTATGCTCTCGAACACTCTACCGGTCTCTTCCTCCAGCTATTTGTTCGACACTCTTTTCCTCCAGGTACTCCTCTCTCTCTTTCTCCAGCTACTCTTCTCCCCATGCACTCACTCTTCTCCCTCTTCATCTCCTTCATCTGCTATCTATTCACTTATTGTAATTTGTTTTTTACCTTGTTTTTCTTCGCTTTTTTCATTTAGCGCCTTTCCGCTTCCGTTTTGAACAAAACAAAAAAAGAGTTGTACGAGTATTTGGTATTTCGTGTCTCTCTTTTCCACAAAAACATAATTTGTTGTTGTTGCCTTTGTTGCCACTTCCGTTGTTCCGTTCCGTGGAGTTTAAACTGCAGGTTTTTTTTTGGTTTTTGTTTTTTGTGGTACAACAAAATGCAGGAAAGAAAAAAAGCTAAAAATTTGCATTTTTGGTAATGGAAATATTTGGGATGGGGGAGACCATAAATGTTAGGGGCTTCGGTTAGCCATCCATGGGATGTGCAGTAGTAGGGGGAGGTACTCCCCTATAAAATAGAGTTCTCAAAACTTTCTCTCGAAAATATATAGGTTCTTGTTTTAAATTAATTTAATTAATGCCAAAACAATGCATAAAATAAATAAATAAACTTATAGTAGATACCATATCAATTACATCATGTATAATCTCTAACCATCATTGCCATGCCACAATATCATCTCTGTTCTCCGTTTCGTAATCGAAAATTGAGTAATGACCGCAACACACGTGGCAGCACACACAGAGGTGGGGGGGGGCCATGTGTGCACTGGGATTAGGCTTTAATTGGCTGCAATCCGTAGCCGTAGTAGTTGATATAGCAATTGTGCAATATGATTACTGCAATTACTCGTACAGCAAACAATCTGTGAACACAAATCCATTGTGTGTGCCTGTGTGCCTGAAAACCAAACGTAGCCCCCAAAAAAGGTCCCCGCCCTGTGAACATTTATCAGCTCTTTTTCCATGTAAAACTCCACAATTCCACAATTAACCGATAACACGAGGGGGTTAGGCGATAACAGGGCGATAACTGGGCAACGAAAAAAAAAACCATAGGCCCCACATATTCCCAAGTGTTCGCAGAAAGCAGAAAGAGAGAGACCACAAAGCGGGTTTCATTTGTGACAATATTATTATGCCATGGAGAGTTATAAAGCGTATATAAAGTATATACATATGTATGTATTATTATTTATTATTATTATTTATTATTATTATTTATTATTATTATTTATTATTATTATTTATTATTATTATTTATTATTATTATTTATTATTATTATTATTTATTATTATTTTCTTAGAAATCATTTAAAGAACCTTTGATAAAGTTTTTAAGAAATATATACATACTACGTATGTTGCTGTCTATAGGATCTGTCAAGCTACAGCATTTTCTTGGAAAACTCTTCAAACTCTTAAGATCTCAATGGGATCTGTATCTCCGAATCCCAAAAATCCTGAATGTTAGTTATAGATTTTTTTTTTTAACTCTTGACTCATTACATCTTGAGAGCTTAAGGCATAAATATCGTGTTAAAGTTGTTTGAATAAATTCAAATGAAATAATATTCTGGGAATCCCGATTGATTGTGATCTAACGCCTCATGCCGCAAGGGGCATCCCCCACATTACAATCATTCAATATCAAGCGGCCTGCTCGGGCCTTTGATGCACTTTTCAATTTACAGTTGGTTGAATCTTTTATGCAACAAACGGAGGAGGGAAGCGGGGCAGTGGTAACCACAGGCAACAGCAGCAGATTTGAATTCGAATACGGATTCACATTCAGATTCAAACTCATTTTGTTAGCTAAAACTGCGTCACGTTGCAGCTTTGTTTGACGTAGCAGCAGCAGCAGCATCAGCAGCAACAGCCCACCGCTGGCTGTGTGGCTGTGTGTGGCTCTGTGGTTGTGGCGACTGTGGCCTGAGATTTGCGTAAACGAAATTGGCTTCTCTGTTTTGCCCCCGTGCCACATGCCCCATTGCAGTGTTGTGTAACGTGTGCAGCGTAACGGCAGCGGGACGGTGCGAGGCGGGGACAGAGAATAATGATGTCAAACTTTTGTGTGTTTGTGTATGTGTGTGTGTGTGTGTGTGGCATTCATATAACTTGTTGCTTTGGCAGTAGTGGTGGGTAGATGGACAGAAGGGGAGGTTTCTTTTGATGCTGCTTTGCTGCTACCTGCTGCAGCTGCCACGTGATGCGTTGTGCAAGAAGTCCTTGCCACGAGGATGCTGCCCCATAAAGTGTAGTGCTGCCAATTGGGGGGATGACCTTGCGCCAGCCTCTAATCCCCCTCTTCGAACTCTGTGTGACCTTCCCCCGAACTCTGGTTTGACCTTCGCGTTGACTTTGCCCGCAGGTATGACCTCCCCAATCCAATCGACAGTCGTCATTCGCCATTCGCCTTTCAATTTCTATTTCAGTTTCGATTTTCCCACTGGCCCGCCATTGGGCTCCCCCACATTTTGCATAATTTATTGCATTTAGTTTTTCATTTAATGCTGCCCCTCCCTTGGTCCTTGTACCATAAATTTCCACTACACACATCAAATGTCGTCGTAGTCCACCAGCCGTCCAGCGACTGCTTCTCCGTCTCCTGCTCTTCGTGCTGCTGCTCCTGCGGCTCTTCCTCCTTCTCTCCATGCCGCTTCTGCGACCTCTACTGCTCCTCTTGCTGCTACTTCTGTTTCCGCCTCCACCATCGCATCGCGTGTGTCCTTAATTTTAGTTTTGATTGCGTTACCCTCCTTCTATACGACCTGCGTCCAGTTCTGGGTTTTCCCCCACACGAACCTCCTCCAGCAATCCAATCCAGTCCGTTGTCCTCTTTATAGTATATATACCCTGTAATTGGCCGACATCGGTGCGGTGCGGTGCGGTGCGTGTGTTCGCTTCTACTGATGGAACCCAACGTGGTTCTTCTTCTCCTACTTTTATGGGAGTGGGTACTCCTGTGGATTTCCTACAGTTCCTATAGTTCTCCTTTTGCTTTAATTTGCCAACTCTTGTGTAGTTCTCCTATTTCCCTGCAAATTTCTGCTGCTCCTTCCAGTTCTCCTACTTTATTCCGACCACAAACCACAACCCACAACCATTGCTGTGCGGTGCTATTTTTATGCCTTTCGCCTTCGTATCAAATGTCCTTTGACGCAAATTAATTAAGTTATGCGAATCCTGGAAGTCGGTCAAGCAAAAGGATGGATAGAGTGTGGCAGGAAGGGAAGGCAGGCGGGCTGCCTGTTGTGCCAGAGAGAAAGAAAGGCAGGGAATTGCGGTTATGGCAGGGAGCAGAAGGAGCAGCCATGAATGGTTGCCCAGGGAATTTGGCAGGGGAGGGGCGCTACTCAAATGATTCTAAATTTAGATATTTCCATCACCACACGAATGGATGAATGCCAATCGAAATGAATGAATAATTAAATGACTGAATGAATAGCTACAAAATTGGACAGAAATGTCCCTAATGAATGAATGAGTGTTATGGAAAACTTTTAATTGCTCGACAAAAGAATCAAATTCACATGGACTAATGGCTCCTTGCCGGTAGTCTTAAATGAAAGGGATATGACTTATGCTCTAAATACAGAAATACAAGCATCGTACACTTCTTGGAATTTCAAGGAGAACTTACTCGAAAGGTTGACTAAGAGTAGTTCTCCCCTTTGCAAGGTTTTGGCATAGCTGCATAGGATTTTCTAATATTAAAAAAGGCCATAAATATCTTTTGGGGATTCCTTAAACGTTTCGAAACATTTTTGTGCATTCTGCCCTGAGGTCTTGCTTGAAGGTCCTTTCCTTCTCTAGAGATCCATTTACTCTGTTAGAAATCTAGCATATGTATTTCCCAACTCGGAAAACCCCGTAGACTCTTCCTTCAACACACATTCTCCCCCTCCACATTGAAAATACATATCAATTTCAAATCAAAGTATATTTTCAAAAAGTGGGCATACCCTTACAAAAAATTAACATGTACCGCTGCGTACAGATTCCGGTATGCGCACAGAAATATACTGATTGCTGTTGGACTGCTGTCGATTCTCCTGCCATCATTGGATACCTCTATATCTATATAAAGGGTAATTATACAGGAGATCCAACACCTTTCTTCCTCATTGGCAACGCACCCATCAACGACAACGCCAAAAGATGGCCAGAAGTGCGACATGGCCACCCCGTCGTGGTATGACAATCATCCCATTAAATGGCATTGCCTTCCTCTTTCTTTGTTGGGGGGTGCCGGTGGCGTTGACAAGTCGCGAATGTTGTCCGCTGAGTGCATTAAATACATATATATATTATTCTATATATGACTATGTCTGGGGGCAGAATGAGGCACTGGGCATGTGGCTTTCAGTTGCTTTGAGGCAATGCGATTGTGAGGTACGGAAATTCCACAGGAGAATTTCCACAATCACAAAGGAGACAAATAAATAGAAACAAAAACAGAGGGAAAGAAAGTAGAACCAAAAAAAAAAAGATTAAAATGATTTCCCTGGTTTTTAGAAGATTGCTGAGAAAAGGTTGTGCCCCAAGTTAGATCATAGCTTAAATCGAATGAATTCTCTACTTCTATTTCAATATATATCCTCCTGCCATTTCAGATTGCGATTGCGGCTGCGTGGATTCGTACAACATCAGCCACGGCCCGACAGCAGTGCAACAACAGCAGCAGCAGCAGCATCAGGAAGGAGGCAGCCATCAGCAGCAGCAACAACAGCAGGTGCCACACCACAGCAACAGCCTCAAGACGGCGCACACAAAGGTTGCCACATCGGGGGGCCATGCCAATACGCAGCCCCCCAGCAAAAGGTCGAGCAGTGGTGCCGATGGCGACTATCAATTGGTGCAGCACGAGGTCTTGTATTCGCTTTCAGCGGAATATGAGGTGGGTAATCCGCGACGATACATCCTTGGGGAGTTTTCTAAACATTTCTTTTTATCCCCTTGTGTAGGTCCTTGAGTTCCTGGGACGTGGCACCTTTGGTCAGGTGGTCAAATGCTGGAAGCGTGGCACCTCTGAAATCGTTGCCATTAAGATACTGAAGAATCATCCGTCGTATGCACGTCAGGGACAGATTGAGGTGTCCATTCTGTCGCGCTTGAGTCAGGAGAATGCCGACGAATTCAATTTTGTGCGTGCCTTCGAGTGCTTTCAGCACAAGAATCACACATGTCTGGTGTTCGAGATGCTCGAGCAGAATCTGTACGATTTCCTCAAGCAGAACAAGTTCTCGCCGCTGCCTTTGAAGTATATAAGACCCATTTTGGAGCAGGTAAATTATAGCGTAAAGATAGCTTTAAACAATCAATGACTTATCGCTCGCTTTTCCCTCAAGGTACTGACGGCCCTGTTGAAACTCAAGCAATTGGGTTTGATTCATGCCGATCTGAAGCCCGAGAACATAATGCTCGTGGATCCAGTGCGTCAGCCATATCGCGTCAAGGTGATAGACTTTGGCAGTGCCTCGCATGTGAGCAAAACGGTGTGCAACACGTATCTGCAGTCGCGCTACTATCGTGCACCAGAGATTATACTGGGACTGCCCTTCTGTGAGGCCATTGACATGTGGTCGCTGGGCTGTGTGGTGGCGGAGCTCTTTCTGGGCTGGCCCCTGTATCCCGGCAGTTCAGAGTTCGATCAGATCAGGTACATCAGCCAGACGCAGGGTCTGCCCACAGAGCATATGCTGAATAGCGCCTCGAAGACCTCAAAGTTCTTCTATCGCGATGTGGACTCGACGTATCCGTTCTGGCGGCTCAAGACCACCGAAGAGCATGAGGCAGAGACCAATACGAAGAGCAAGGAGGCAAGGAAGTACATCTTCAATTGTCTGGATGATATTGGGCAGGTGAATGTGCCCACGGATCTGGAAGGGGGACAGCTGTTGGCCGAGAAAACCGATCGCAGGGAGTTTATAGATCTCCTGAAGCGTATGCTAACCATCGACCAGGAGCGACGTCTGACCCCCGCTGAGGCATTGAATCATTCATTTACACGGCTCACGCATCTGGTGGATTATGTTTACTGCAACAATGTGAAGGCCTCTGTCCAGATGATGGAAGTGTGTCGTCGCGGGGATTTCCATACGTAAGATAATAGCTCTAAGATCTCTCTCCAATTGATTGATTGATTGATTCTACATTTTCTCTTTTCTCTTTGCAGCGTACAACCTGCTTCTACTTTGGTCACCAATTTCGTGCCCAGCAGCACTGAGAACATGACATTTACGATCAACAATCAGCTGACCAGTCAGGTGCAACGTCTTGTGCGTGATGGCCGCCCGCTGGCCTACGAGGGTCTCTATCAGATCTACAATGGCAGAAGTGTCGCGCGGCAGTATCCGCAGGCGCGCACCGACAGCTTCCAGCATCAGCTGGTGTCGAATATTCTCTGCCCGCCGTCGTACCAGGCGATGGCCAGCCCCACGAAGCATGTCGTGGTGGGCAGTGCCACCATGCAGCCGCCGTTGCAAGTGCCACCGCAGCAGTATGTGAATGTGCCAGTGCCCGTGTCGATGGTGGAGCCCACCTCGGGCCAGAGGATGCTGCTCACGAATCGAGTGCAGGCGAGCGGCGTGGCATGGCCGCAGACGGGCAGGCAGATGGCATTGGTGCCCTCGTGGCCGCAGCAGGCGCCAGCGCATTCGCTGATTGTGGACTCAACGCCGCTTTTCAATGTGGAGGAGATCTATCCCAAGCATCATCTCAATTTGCCACGCAACGATCTCAAAAAGGAATCGCCGGCTCATCATTTAGCGTGAGTATCGCAGCCCCTGCCCATGCCCAAGTGAAACCCCTCTAAGGTTCTTCTGTTACTTGCAGCAAGGGCAACTCTTATCGCGTGCCGCGTCACGAGAAGAAGGAACACCAGCAGCTGTCGCCCGTAAAGAAGCGCGTGAAGGAGAGCTCACCGCCGCATCAGCAGCGCTATCAGCGAACGGCTCACGTGTCGCCGCAGTACCACACGCATCACAATTGCAATTATGGCGGCAACTACGGCAGTGGCGGCAGTGGCACGGGTGGATCAGTGGTGGCCTCATCCGGAGGAGGAGGAGTTTCTGCGAGCAGTGAGTGATTGATACGGGATTAAATAATGTGAATTAATGAACCTTTTTGTTTGTGTTTCGTTTTGTAGATATTCCCAGCAGTTCGGGCGGATCGCATCATCATCATGGCGCACCAGTGGCGCATGTGCAGCAGCCGTATAGCGCCTCATCGGGCGGCCATCATATTGTGAGCAATTGTCAGGCGAATGGAGGCTACCAGCAGCCGCTCACACATGCCCCACATCCGCAACAGCAGCAGCAGCACCAGCCGCAGCAGCAGCAGCAGCAACAGCAGCATCCGCAACAGCAGCAGCAGTCGCATGTGAAGCAACAGCCGACGATCACCATCCATGATACGCCCTCACCGACGGCAGTGATTACCATTTCGGATAGCGAGGATGAGGGTGGGGATAATGGTGCAACGACAGCAGCGCCAGTGAAGCAGCGTGCGCATGCGCAGTCGCAGACGAGCAGCAGTCTGATGCAGCAGCAGCAGCAGCAGCAGTCGTCTGTGCCACTGCATTGCCAGAGGAGCACCAACCAGAGCAACGTGCAACAGCAGCAGCAGCAACAGCAGCAGCAATCGATCAATTATGGTAATGCCCAGAACAACAACCAACAAAACCACCATAGCCACAACAGCCACCAAAACCACCACAGCCACAGCGCAAATAACATCAGCTCCGGCCACATGCCACCAAGCTCCACTGCAACAAGCTCCTCGGCCTCCTCCTCGAGCAGATTGGGGAGCGGCAGCGGCAGCGGCAGCAGTGGCAGTGGCAGTGGCAGCGGCAGTAAGGGTAGTAATAGCAGTAATAGCAGTAGCCACCACAGTAGCAACAGTAGCAATCCTCATCATAACAGCCACCACCACCACCATCATAATAATCAGCCGCATTCGAATGGAAGTGGAAATGGAAATGGAAATACGGGATTCGGGATTGGTGCAGCAGCAGCAGCAACAACAGTTACAGCCACAGCCCTTGATATGGCCACAGCCGCCTCCTGCTCGCAACAGCAACAGCATCAGCCACTGCCTGTGCTTCATGTTCTGCCTCAGCCACAGCCACAGCCTTTGACTCTGCCACAAGCTCCTTTGACTCTGCCTCAGCCTCAGCATCTGCAGCAGCAGCAGCAGCAGCAGCATCTGCAGCAGCAACAGCATCAGCAGCAGCAGCAGCCGCCGCATTCACATTATCAATCATCGACATCATCCTCCTCCACTTCTGCTTCCACTTCCAATCACCAGCCATCGCTACAGCAGCAACAGCCACAGCCACAGCATCTGCACCACCATCACCACCATCATCATCATAGCCATCATAGTCAATCCCAGAACCAGTCCCAATCCCAATCCCAATCATCCTCTGCTGCTTCCTCCCAATCCCAAACTTCTGCCTCTGCCTCTGCTCTCCTTGCCCCTGTCCCACTACCCGTGCCCCTACCTCTACCCCTACCCCTATCCGTCTCTACGTCTCAGCCTCAGCATCTCAGTCGCAGCCATAAGTCATCGCACGTCCAGCTAGTAATTCCATGCGTAACCGTAGGTGAACACGATCCGGAGGATGCCCGTCGACGCCATCATGCAGCAGCAGCGGCGGCCATTGCCGCAGGAAGCCCCAAGCATCATCATCACCAACAGCAGCAGCAGCAGCAGCACCATCAACATCAGCAGCAGCCACCACAGCAACAGCAGCAGCAGCAGGTGCAACAACAGCCGCCGCCCAACATCAAGTACGAGCCAGGACAATCGCAAAAGAAACGCATCCTAGCGATGGCCCAGAGCGAATGCAACTACCAGCCGCAGCCGCAACAACAGCAGCAGCAGGTGCAAGTGCAGCAGCCGCAGCCATCCGCCAGTCTGCCGCACATTCCGCCAAAGCAGGAACCGGCAGAGTTCTATCCGGAATATGCCCCCCAGCAGCAACAGTTGGACACGAAACGCTCTTCGTGGGCGCCCACATCCTCCTCGGCTGCACCGCCACTGGCGCATCCAAAGCGAGAGGCACCCTCGGCTGCGCCCATTAGCTATGTGGCACCCGCTGTGGCGCCACCCCTGGCCCACTCGAAGAGCAGCTCGTCGTCGTCATCGTCGTCGATTAGTGCTGCGGCTGCAGCGGCCTCCTGGGGTGCACCTCAGGTCTACCGCCAGCCATCGCAGCCGCCGCCAGGAAGTGTGCTATCCCAGCCGCCAGCTGCACCGCATCACCATCACAGCAGCCACAGCCATCATCATCATCAGGCTGGGACACCGTTGGGCGGCTCGCCCTCGTCCACGGCAGCGGCGACCATGCTGCAAACGGATATCTATGCGCAGGGCGACATTTATCGCCGTCCCACGGTGTTTGTGTCGCAGGCGGCGCCCAGTTATGCGTACGCCAACAGAGCAGTGGTGGCGCCACCACCCGCACACAACAGCAGCAGTCGTCAGGTGAGTGGCAGGAGATTAGTTAATTCTTTCTTTGAAGATTCTTGCGGTCTAATGAAGGGCTTCCTTGTGTCTTTGTAGGTGATACCATCGCATCCGTTGCCAGCTCACATCCAGATACCCACGCAGTATAGCCAATTTGGACCACTCAGTCCTGCCCAGGTAGCCGCCGCCGGCAAGCATGCGGCGCACTTTGCGCCCACCAACATATGGTATGGGGCTGAGTAGGGAGCCACGAAAGTGGGTGACACGAACGAACAGAGGGTTAGGCGAGACGAGACGCGACGAGAGAGAGAGGGAGATGTGATGAGATGAGATGTGACACCACCAGCAAACCGCAAACCGCAAACACCGTCATCATGATCTGAGATCTTGAGAGCTCAAGAAACTCATTTAAATGATTCAGCGCTCGAGTGAGTCGAAAATGCCGTCACAATTAAAAGGCGTTTAAACCATTGAGATTGTCGGAACATCATGGAAGGGAATTCTTGACTCAATTGTGTATCCTTATTCATTCGCAGATCGTTTGTGGCCTCGGTTGAGGAAGGAGTGGATAACCAAAGCCCAGAGCTACAGCAGCAGCAGCAGCAACAGCAGCTACAGTTGACACAATGCTGGTGGTTTATGCTACTGATGCAACAGACGATAATACAACACAACAGCAACATGCTGCTAGCGGATAGCGAGGAGTCCATCACATCAGGAGAGACATCAGCAGCAGCTTCGGTCACATCTTCAGTGGCAGCAGCCACAACATCAGAAGCAGCAGCAGCACTAACAACAACAGCAGCAGCCTCTGTTTCTGCTGCAACAACATCTTCAGCGGCATTTAACATGTTTTGCAGAAGTGCTCGCCGCAAGCATTGAGACAGACAGAGACCCACAGAGATCATCGCCACGTCGCCAGTTCTTTCGTTGTCTGTGGATTTAAAAGTTATTTGTTTCGATTGGAGGATTTGGGAGATTTGGGGGAGAGCAACTCCACATCATTGGATTAACCTTTACGATTATTCAGTTTTATTATGTTTTATAATATTATAATTGTAAATGTAAAGAGAAGCATTCTTACACGCTCGCAAGTGTAAGACATGCATAGAGCCCATAGAGCTTCACTTCTCTCTCTCTCCATATATATATATATATATATATATATATATACATATGTATTCTCTATATATCTATATATATATATTAGATGTGTGTGTAGTTTTATCTGTATATTCAGATTGTTTTTTTTCCCCTCTTCTACAAAAAACGAAAGCGTTTCATTCTCTATGTGTGTTGTGTATATTTTATTGATACATACAAATATTCTCTACATATATTATAAATTATATACATACATATGCGCATATGTAATACTATAATTATGAATACTACAATATCAAACAATAACAACAACAACAATAACAATTTAATGGCACGCCAGCGACACTAACAAACAAAATGCTTAGAAATTCCTTAGACTCTTAGAAAGTACCTCAAAATACGAAATACGAATACGAGCAAAAATAATAAGCAAAAAACAAAATGCAACAGCAACAACAGCAACAGCCAACAACCAGTAACAAACAATACAATGTTAATGCAATTTGCCTTTTACACAAACAAGCAACAAGAACGAAAAAAGAGAAAACAAACAAAAATAGGAAGAAACCAATTCTATAGAAATCGTAAACAAATTGTAGAGTAACAAATGAAAATACCGCAAAAACCTTACTAGCAAACAACAAAGCAAAGCAAGAATAACTAAATAGACCCTAGGAATCGAAGAAAAACCTAAAAATAAATAAATATATATATATAGGAAATAGCTGATAGAAATAAAAAGGATATCTAGCAGTAGGACTTAGTAGGAGTAGGATGGCAATGAATGCGACAGTTTTTTTATACACACTCGTAAACACACTCATAGAAATAACCGCAATAAATATGCAAAAATATACAAAATACGATTAACAAATAAAGATTCTAAATTAAGTTAAAACCCACAAATAATTATAGGAACAATTGTACATATATATCGATATATAAATACGAAAAGAGTATCTTGTAACTAGAGCGTGAGAGAGCACTTTGATGGATGGAAGAGTTTTTTTTGTACGTTTTAAGCCCTGAGCACATCAGACGCATCAGAGCGCTTTTAGCCAGTCTTTGGATTGAATGTCAATAACCCTTATTAGTTTTTAAAGCTCAAGAATATAATTAATGATTTTTGAATGCCCCTTGCTGAAAAAAAAGAAAAGGTTTTTGGAAAACAGAAAAGAAAACATCTGTTATCCCCTTTAAAGTACTATGTATTCTTGATTAGAATTATTTCTATACGTGCAGCAGTGCCCCTCGGTTTGTTTGGCTTTGCTGCCTACCGGATTATTTTAAAATTATCGATCTGCAAGGGTATCAAATGCTTCGGCATCCGAAGAAGACTTTCTTCTTTTAACTATGTTTTCTTAGCACTCACCCTTCACCCCCATACGGCACAAGCAAAGACCTTTGAAATTATGTAGTCGATAAACTTATGGGAAAAGTTTTACTAAAGTACAAAAACAAAACAAAAAAAACAAAAATAACAAGCAATCTAGCAATAATCGATTAACATTTTTAGGCTTTATAATTTGTTCTTTTAAAAATTATGTTCTTTCGAAAAGTTAAAACCTGGAACCTAAATTCAAGTTAGGCTTTAGTACCGCTATAAAGGCAGGGGATCAACGGCATGATTGGGTCAACTTTGTGTAAATAATGCACGCAATTTTGATATGTACAAAACCTGGCTTACTTTACACACTTACACCCACTAAATCTTATATACCATATAGATACATATATAAACTATTGTAAACTTAAAAATCTTGTTAAATAGGTTTCCTAAAGTATTTTGTAGTTAGACCTAAACTTAAACGTGTCGTTGCGCATGCAAAATCTTTTTTTCCTATCCCTTAGAGAGGGCGGCACTTCCTAAATAAACATACAGAAGATACAGTTACAAAAGATACAGTTAACCGCAACCCCTAAGCCCCTTTTAAAAACCAACCACCCTTCTACCCTTCTAGTACAGCACCATTTTCGGGATTAGAAGGTTAGGGAGAGTTAAAACTCCAATTGAAAGGATCTAGCATATAATTATTGTGATGTAGTTTTTAACAAAAAGCAAAGAAATTGATAAAGATACCGATAAAGATAATGATATAGTAGAAGAGATGAAGAAGGAAAGGAGCGTTTTGCCAGTCGTCGTCATCGTCTAGAAATTAAACTACAAATTATGAATACAACAAACGTAATGGATATATGGATAAACGGATATATATAGCTATATGCATCAATATATGTTATCTAATTAGTGTGCAGGATTCAATAGCGTTAACAGAACAACAAAATAAACAAAAAATAAACCAATCGTTTTTTAAACAAACTTTTTAAAACAAGAGAAAAAAAACAGAACTTTTTGTAGTTTATAATTAAACGAAAGAAGGAACATTTACGAGTAATTAGCATTGTGTAGGGGCGGTAATTAAGAAAACGTTAGTGTTGTGAATATATACGAGTACATACAATATATAAGTACTATATAGATCTAGATGTGGTATATACAATGCATATATATTTTGTGTATAAAAACAATAAACGGCAATAAACAAGCAGCTAACGATTGTCATAAACAATAATGAGAAGAAAAACGCAAAAACCAATTAAAAAATTCAAGTAATTGTAAAACGAAGATTCAGAAAGATTCTTAGATATACGGAAAACGGGATAGGATGAGTTCTTTTTTTATAGAAATTTTATGGACCATTCAAAATATAAATAAATATAAATTAACAACAACAAAATAGGAATAAACATAAATGCTGTATCCAACCCCTGTTCGTAGTGAGAGAACGTAAAGTTTTGTCGATTCTGTGTTTTTTCGTCCTGCACTTTTTTCCTGTCAATCGGTGTGTGTAAAACGTTCATATATTGTTCATATTTATATGTGTGTGTATATCTTACAATTAAATAATGTATCTGTATCTGTAATGGAACAACTCAATGTTTTAGGAGCAGCAACAAAGAAATGAAAAACGAAATTAAAGAAAATAAAGAAAAAGAAAACAAAAAACAAATCAAGAACGCTTTAAATGTAACAAAAACGAAACGTTAATAGACTTACAAAACAAACAAAACAAATTAAATTTATAACAAAATTAAATTGATAATTAACGAAAACAAAATTCAATTTACATATATTTAAAAGAAACAAAATTCAATTTATATTTAACAACAAAAAACTCACACTCGATACACGAGACAGCTGCAGACTTTTGTGGCACACTGTATGATAAATTTGACATTTAAGCGAGCAAACGTTATAGGAATATAGGAAGAGAAGGATATCCAAATCCAGGAAACACTAAACACTCTAAATATACGTATATAATAGAAATGCGAAAATGTTTTAACGTGTAGCCTTAATATTTGTACTCGTCGTCCTTTCGATTTCCAGCAACAGAAACAAAAAATAAAACAAAACAAAACAGCATGAAGAGATAGCAGTAGAAAATGATGTGTAACTATAACGATACGAATACGATTACGATATGAATATATTAATATGAATATGATATATACATATATATATATAAAGCTAAAGCTAATGCTTAACGGTGTTTACTACAATATTTCTTATGTACTTGTGTTTATAATCATAATCTGCATTGATAGGATGAGTTGCCTTTATCTGACTATTTTAACATTTTACACATAAAATTTACTTTTACCTTTACCTTTAACTTTACCTTTACATTTTGACTTGTACTATTTTTTGTGTGTCGTTTCTTTTGCCTAATGTTTTTTGTGGTCCATAATGGTCCACAATCATACATTACATATATAATGCATAATGGAACATAAACCATATGAATATATAAATATTTACTTACTATTACCAGAATTATATATATACATATATATGCTTACCATTTACTTATGTCCTACCACAAAATACATATATAAACCGATATTCATAACGCAATTATGGAATCCCTGTTTTTGGTTTTATTATTTTCCTTGAATTATCCTTTATTTTTCATGACATTTCGTTTGAAGAACACCAAACACCAAATGATGAAACAACAAATACAACATATATCCCACCAAATTACGAATGGAGTAAAAATCTTAATGTTTAGCAAACAAACAACAAAAAAAAAACTTAATAATAATTAATCGTAATATTGTGCAATACTATCGATAGCAAAAGCCCAAAAACAAGCAACAAACAAACAATGCCATTGTGCAAACAATTTAGGTTTAGGTTTAGTTTTAGTGTAAAGCTTCAGCTGATTTAGGATTTAGTTGAAAGACCAACCAGGTTTCTGCAGATTATATAGATTGATTTCGCACACAAACACCTCCCCCCGAAGAACAACAACAACCCCCAAAGGCCCCACGATGTTGCTTAATTGACCAACAATTGATGAGCTTTTATTGGAAAGTAATAATAATCGTATTTTTGGTTTTGCATTTACCAGAACACACAACATAAATGGAATCAGTAAAAGTACACTTAAAGTGAGAGGTACAAAACCCGAACTGGAAATCAAAAAGCAGATTTATCAGATACGAATAGTTGGAGTACGACGATGTTTTTGACAAACAAGATTGATAATTACCCGTCCATAATTAGATTTCGTTTCGTTAAAGCGCTGAACCTGAACTGAATGCTGGATTCAGGCAAGTCAGGACAGCAGCAGAATCGAATAGCGGGGGCCCTTCTCCTTATAGCATAATGCTTTAGTAATAACTTAAGCTTCGTAATTAGGTTTAATCTACCAGTAATATATAGATGGATACGTATATGATATGATATAATCTTCGTGTTTCCTTCACTTGAAGAACTTTCTCCAACAAACTCTCTTAAAAATTTTGTGGTTCGGATTGAAATTAGATGTTTTTTAATAAACAAAACACTCGAAAAAAATAACACGTATGTACACATATTACAAAATGGATAAATCAATGGATATATACATACATATATATATATTTTATTAAATACAAAATTATTTCCTAACAAAACGAAAAGGAAAAGATAACCGAAAAATGTTGATGTGTGAAATTTATAAGACTAGCATATTTCCTACCTAAAAAAACAACAACAATATACATACATACGTTATATATATATATATACACGGATATATGATAACTAGCAGCTAGAGCTGAGATCATACTCATAGACGGACATATACAAGCATACATATACACACACATACGAGTACTATGGCTAAAACGGTAAAGATATTGAATTTAAAAATAATGATTGTACCTTTTGCTGATTTCGAAACCAAAAAAAAATGGCAGAAATCGAGAAAAGATATAGAGTATGCGGATGCGAATGTAAAGATATGTATTGGCATTGCAGGTGATGCAAAACGTAATCGAAACAATACATATAGGTTTTAATAGATCGATCAGAGAATGAGAAGGGAGCACCTTTTATGGGATTTGCTACAATAAACGATTAATGTATAGATGTACTTGTAGCGATGGTAGCGATTGCGCAGTTTCAGATTAAAGAATTTAAATATTTTTATATACGAAATCGATTAGTGGTAGATCTCTACTCAAAAACGGGATATGTTTAGCATAACCTACTATAGCGCAAGCGCAATGGCTTTGCATTCGAAAGTAAACCAATGACGGGTAATCAAAGATCGCACACACACACACAGAAACACTGACACTACTAAACACTCAAACATACACTAATGGATAGTATGAATAGTATAGAGGATTTCCTTTCGCAAGGGCACCAAGTCATATTCCTCCATGCATATAAGTACTCGCTCTTGGACACACTCCTTTTAGCATCTATAGATATCTAGCCTTGTTAGGATTGCGATTAGGAATCATTGATTTTGTCAGGGTTCTAGATTCTGTGGATACGCGTAAGAGATCCTTAAGGAATGGAAGGAATAAATTGGAAATTAAATTAGAAATTAATCATTTCCAAAATCCATGAACAAGACAACATCACCAACACTTTATCAACAATACACCAACAGTTTATCAACAATTCACCCAGAAATAACCATCTACTCCACAAATATTCACCAACACACCACACAACTCGAATCACAACTCTAATCGTACTTTAATCGACGTTTTACGTATTCTAATCGTATCTCTATGAATGTGTACTGAATGTTTTTACTTGGTGTCCATCTTGTTTTTAGGCATAAGGGAAACGGAAACCGAAACGGAAATAAACATGAAATTCAAAAACTTATATCAAAAACCAAGCACACCGATACATTTAGCATTGTAATTGATAAGGCTATCGATATTAGCGTTTAGTTTTATGCGAATCAAAAAATATATATATATACAAACAAATATATATATATGTATATGTGTCTGTATCGTAATCAGATATGCGTACCTTTGGATCAGAGAAGGCCGCCGGCTAATTTATCGAATACAAGTAATCGTAGGAGAATAATATTGTATCGAGACCAAAGAAAAACCAAAAACCCAAATCGAAGCAATGAACAGCAACATTTGTATTTATGTATAGTTCCCTACTCCCTCCCTCTAACCAACAAATAAACCTATAACAATCGAGTTCCGATTTCAAAGATAGAGATAATAAACTCCACTCCATGTGTAAGCTCCAGTTAAAAAAAAGAACACTTAGTGGAAGTGTGTGTGACCGCGTCTAGATAATTGATAGAATAGATATGATAAGAACTTTTGACTTTTATGGCTGTTTAGAGATTTTATAATACGTCTATATCTATATAGATATTATATATGTATACATACGATATATATATAGTATAAATCAGACATTTTCGTAAATTATTTACATACTCAAAGACACAAACAAACAAAAACCAAAACACATAGAACATTCAACACATAGAAGATACAACAACAACTAACCAAAAACGTTTTTTCCCCCGGGGGGGGAATGGGAATTCGAATTTCCCCTCAAATTGATTTTCGGCTAGTTCTGGGCTTGGAAAAATCCCTCCTCCCCTCCTAAAAAACATGACACACACACACACACTGTGGGGTTTTCTGTGGGAGGGGGGGCCTCGTCTTGTCTCTTTGTAGCAAAATAGAGAAAAACAAATCGAACATTGTGAAATTTAGTGTCTTTACACTTTAAAGAGAAAATATATACAACCAGGAAATGGATTACTTAATTAAGAATTGTGAATGTAGAAATGCCTATATCTAAGCATCACACACACACAAACACACACACACAAACACACACACACAGAATACAGACACACTAGCGGGACACACAGTTACACTTATACTCATCTACACACAAACATAGATACGGATGCATAGCCATCCGTACCACAAATTATAAAATAATTAACGTAACATACTCTCGTACATATGCCTAAAAGGATAAACAACGTGTAGTAATCTACAACAGCAAAGTGCAACAGCAACGGCAACAGCAAACAAACAGCAAATGCAAATGCAACATTAAAACCAATTACAAATCAATGTCTATATATGAAATGAACAAGAATATATGTACATGCACGATATGTCGTATATACCATAAATATATGTATTTGTGTATATGGCAACAAAAGCTATCAAATTGAAAGAAGAAACATAATTATATAAAAAAAATAATACAAAAGAAAAGAAAAAGAAAGCAAACAAAAAAAAAAAACCAAAGAAATAACAAAACAAATACAAAACAAATTATCAAAAGAAAATTAAAAAGGATTTTTCATGTAATGGGTGCAATGGTGCAATAAGAAAAGGGAAAAGGAAGATCCGGGAAGAACAGCCTATAGCCTATGACTATCCGCCTTACATAGGTTGTAAGTTAAAAGTAAAGCTTCCCACTAAATTCTTCAAATATTGGAAGCTCACTTTAAACAAATTTCTTATACAAATATTTGATATTTTTTGCCTGTAGAGAATTTTTATTATTAATTTATTCTTTGTTTACTCTTGCGCTGTTGTTTACTTATATGTAAAATCTCCTTTTCCATTTCCAGGAGTTCATTGCCCGATGTCCAACTCAACTTATCCCTTGGACAGCTACTTTGAGTAGCCCAGGATTCTTCGACTCTTCAAAGGTATGTCTTTCCAAACTCTTATTCTAAGTAGACATTAATGCGCTGGGGCAGTAAAATCAAAGGCTTTTTATCTCGGACACGTCTAAAATGTGAATAAACATAGAAGTCTTTGCTTTTGATTCGTTTCATTGCCTTTGAAAAGTGTGCCCTGTCGATACAGTCTGGCTACGCATTCGTGTGGTAGTCCCAAAAAGTATTAGTTGTGTCCTGGCTAACTGAAAAGTTGAAAAAAAAACCCTACAAAATTTATTTTCCACCGAACAAACAATTTTTGTGTGTGGTTAACGATCAGGTTCAGGTCAGAAGAGAGGACATCAACGAGTGAGTATGGAATTTATCGTAGCACAGATCGCAAAAGATAGTCAGGCTTGTGTTATGGCTTCGTGTCCCTTTCTAAAGTACATTATGGGGCAGACTCTGTCGGAGCCGGTGACCACCAAGAACACGGCCGAGTGCGAGAACGGTGCCTACCGCGTGGGCTCCAGCAGCATGCAGGGCTGGCGCATCGAAATGGAGGATGCCCACACCCACATCCTCTCGCTGCCAGAGGATCCCACAGCAGCGTTCTTCGGAGTCTACGATGGACACGGTGGCGCCGGTGTGGCCAAATTTGCGGGCTTGCATCTGCATCAGTTCATTACCAAGCGGCAGGAGTACTTTGACAACAACGTGGAGGTGGCCCTGAAGCGTGGCTTCCTCGACTTCGACAAGGAGATACTGCAGAATGGATCCTGGCAACAGAAGACAGCCGGCTCCACTGCCGTGGTGGTGCTGATCAAGGATCAGCGTCTCTACTGCGCCAATGCTGGGGACTCTCGGGCCATTGCCTGCGTTGGGGGCAAGGTGCGCGCACTCTCCGTGGACCACAAGCCCCAAGACGAGGCGGAGAGCAGCCGCATCCTGGCCGGTGGCGGTTTCGTCGAGCTCAATCGCGTCAATGGCAGTCTGGCCCTCTCCCGGGCCCTTGGCGACTTTATGTACAAGCGGAACCTCTATATGCGGCCGGAGGAGCAGGTCGTCACCGCCTATCCCGACGTGGAAGTGGCGGATCTTACAGAGGACTGGGAGTTTGTGGTCCTCGCATGCGATGGCATCTGGGATGTGATGTCCAATCAGGAGGTGGCTGACTTTGTGCGCACGCGCATCGGCTCGGGCATGTCTCCGGAGTGCATTTGCGAGGAGCTGTTGAACAGCTGCCTGGCAACCGACTCAAACGTGACCGGCCTAGGAGGCGACAACATGACCGCCATACTGGTCTGCTTTCTAAACGACAAAAAATACGAGGACCTGGTGGCACGCTGCGGCGACACCAAGCAACACGTTGATGGTGTGGGCGACATCAATAAGAGCCCCACCGTTATGGGCACTTCCAGATCCCTATTGGATGACATCTAATCACTCAAAATGAGGTTTGTTTTTGGGGCTATGACAACTGACACACACACACACACACACACAAGGGCTGGGCTGGCATATACGATGCGTAGGGTACACGGGATCTTACACCTAGAGCACACACTGCTCACTGCACACGGCTATTCAAAATTCTGCAGTTTCGTTAATTTAATAATTTAATAAACAGTTCAGCTCTATGCTTAGAAATCCACTGTCCAAAACGAACCAGAAATCACCCACAAGAATTAGCGCTAGGGTATTTGGTGGCATATACGAGACACATGATACTCACGATCATACACGGACAAAGCCATTCAATCCGCACTCAACACATTGATTTTATTCCAAATTTGGCAGTTGCTTTGTTAATAATTAAATACACATCAAATGAAAGGATCAACTTTAGCCTTGGAAAACAAGTCAACTCTCAAACACATTGCCAGATTATTGCCAAAATTCAGCCACAGCAATACAGACCAAAGGCCATTCAATCCGCTTTCAACCAAAATTGTTTAGTTCCTTCGTTAAATATTTAATAAATTAATTGTTCAAATGGAAGTACATATAAGCTTCATCCATGGAAAAACCATTTGTGTGTTCATTACTCAGGGATCGTTGGATCTCTCGTTTAATTCGAATAAATGTGCAAATCTATAATACAATTTTAAGAACTAGATATACGTGTATATGCGATATAGAATAGGGTGTATATGTTAAGTACGAATATATAATATACGAGTATATGCACATGTTCGTTCTATATAGTAGGTATATTATGTATGTATGTATCTTTGGTGCGATTAGCTGTAGGTCCGAGTCGTTGGCTGAGTATTGAAAATGCAGTGTGCTTCTCGTGTTTCCCTCGATGATAACTACGCGTAATGTGTAAAGTGTGCTACAAAATAATAAGCGATATATGTATAAATATATATGTATATATAGCTAGGGGCTATGTGTGTCCAGGGGCTAATTGGTGTTTATATAGTTATGTCAATTATTGCACCACATGCGGCCGTAAGAGTGCTTAAAATAAAGTGACGCACACATGTGGAGGAGACCACAAGATGTGCGCTGAATTTTAAGATAAAGACTAGATATCTCTCGTTTTGGATGGACTTCCGTGCGGGAAGCAGGAAGCCCAAATCCTCAATGCCTTATAGCGAAATGATTAATATAATTTTTCAGTGGTTTATGTGTAAATTCTAGAGCTATGATTATGTGGCGAAGAAATGTGTGTATAAAATTAGCTTTGCTGTGTGTGGCGTTGATCGCAGGTGCACGGTATTTGTATCTCTGGATCTACATATATGTGTGATCGATCGTATTTGTTTGTATGTGCTATCAAAAAAAAATACTGGTTTTTTGTCGTTGTTCTTGGCAAGTCTCTAAAGAAGTCTCATTACAACTAAGTGAAGATCAAACGATCGCGGCCCTAGACGGGGCCATCGGATCGATCCCTGTCTACATGTATATATATACATCTATCTATATACATATATGTATATATTGTGTGTATATAACTTCCATCTGCTACTCCTTTGCGCTCTCTGTTTGGAGTGATCTGTCTCTGTGGATCAGCTGGTGCTCTCTCTTTGGAATCATCTACTCTCTAAATGGTACGTTAGCTCTTTTGCATTTTTTGTTTTGTTTTGTTTTGTTTGGTTTTGTTTTTATCACATATTCGTTGACTACAGTAAGAAAATGAATGGCCTTGGACGTTGGTGGGGTTGGGGATGGGGGTGGGTGCTTTGCTTTGCTTTGCTATCCTTGCTTCTTCTTGAAGTTCTTTCGTTCTCTGTGGTGTCTTTTTCTTGGATATATTTTGTGTGATTCCCGGAGTCTATGCCACCATCGCTCGCAGGCTGCCCGTCAGCTCAAAGGGACTTGTCTTGGCCGAGTGCGTAAAGTTGTTCTTTGGCGAAAAGTCCACCGGCTGCTCCTGTGCCCCAGTGCTGGCCACTCCACCACCCTCTGCGGGCGGGTTCGGTGGATTGGGCACGTGCGGGTAGTGGTAGGGCAGCGACAGAGGCAGGACCAGGGGCAGCGGGTGCAACTCTTGGTAGAGCACACTCGGATGTGGCAGAGCCGTTGGCTGGATCACATTGATCCGCTTGAAGTGCTCATAGTCCTCCAACGGATAGCTCTGATATGCCAGTGCCGCCTGCCGTCGCTCCTTCTCCTTCTGCAGCAGCTTGTTGGCCAGCGTGGACTTTGCGGAGTCCACCGGAGGGGCAGATATCGTCGTCGTCACCGTCACCGTCGAGGGGGAGCCTGAAACCGAACCCGAACTGGAACCGCAGCTGGAGCTGCCCTCCTGCTGCCGTTTGGGCGATGCAGGGGGTCGCCCTGTGCCGCCGCCGCTGCTGCTGCCGCTGCGGTTCTTCATGCAGGAGGACTCTTCGTGCTTGTACAGATACGACTTCAGGGCGAAGGCCTTGCCGCAGCGGGAACACGAGTGCGGCTTGGTGTTCGAGTGCGTCTGGATGTGGGCGCGCAGATTGGACTTGTCCGCAAAGGCCTTGCTGCAGACGCTGCACTTGAAGGGCTTCTCGCCGGTGTGGGTGCGGATGTGGCCTTGCAGCAGCCAGGGGCGGGAGAAGCGTTTGCCGCAGGTCAGGCACTCGCAGCCCTGGTTGTGGGTGCGCACATGCATCGAGTAGGCGGGCATCGACACGTACACCTTCTCGCAGTAGGGGCAATGGCGTGCCTTCTTGTCCATAATTGACCTACGCAAGAGGATTTACAGATTAGTTTGGGCAGATCTTTGGGGGGGTGTGGGCAACTCCTTTACCTGTGGGTTTGTCTATGGCGTGCCAGATTCGAGGATGTGGAATACTTTTTGCCGCACTCCGGACAGATGTGCTCGTCCTCCGCGGCCTGCTCCTGATGATCATGCTGCTCCTGCTCCTGTGGCTCCCCTGACTGGTGGCTGCTGCTGCTGCTGCTCGTGCAGGAGTTCGAGTCGGAGATGGTGCAGCGCCGCAGTTTCCTGCGATCGAACACCTTGTGGCTGTAGTAATTGGAGTCGTCGTCCGACGAACAGGCATAGAAGTGGGGCTTAACCTCTGCGTCGGTGATCAATGGACCCGCTGCCAGTGTGACCTCCGCCAGCTGTGTGAGATTGTACAGCTCCTCGGGTATGGGAGTGGCCTGCTGGTCCTTTGTCATGATGATGAAATTATGTCTGCAAGAAAACGAGGGAATTTCTATGATGAAATGCAAATGGCATTGGCTGGGCGGCAAAGAGGTAGAGATGAGGCTGCGGCTGGGGCCTGCGAGACAACCTGCTAAATGCGAACAAACATGCGTCATTCCCACCCAATTGACCAACGACAACGCGAGTGAGTGCCAGATATAGATATACAGAGATGTATCTGTGGATATTATAGATGTGTAGTAGCATCCACAGAGCACATCTATCACTCTCCGCTATCAGAAACCCCTTGGGCCATAGATCTCCATCTCTCTCTCTCTCTCTCTCTTTCTCTCTCTCTGTTTTTACCGGTAAGGGTAAGCGCCATAATTCTTGTTTGTTTATTTGAAGATTCATCAATTTATAATTAAGGACGTGTACCGAGAGGCCACACGGCCACGATGTGAGCCAAAGTCGTCTGCATCATCATCATCATCGTCAGGCGAATGGGGGAATGAAGCACACGGGACAGCAGCACACGGGGCGTATGATTAACGTCAGAGCATCGCCGGCATTGCATTCTGCTGGCACTTGTTGGCTCTACGGGTGCTACGGGCTCTATGGGTTCCGTAGTTCTGCATCTTTGTGTGTTTCATACTTCTCGTATACGTGGAATGGTGAATGCAGGAGGGTTGGGCGGAATGGGGGGTTGCTACTCTTCGACTCGCATGTGATATAAATTTATGTCGAAATGAATGCGCTTAATTTGTTCATGTTGTCGTGGCATTGATTAATCTCGCACGTAATTGGCGCAACACAGCGTCAGGTGGAATACACCATCACCATCTAGGCACCATGTGGCAGACTTCACTGTAGTCATAACCCAGATACATATGAATGTAGACCTGCGCCACAAATTTTTGGTTTTGCTTGGAAAAGCCATCAAATTGTTGTTGTGTATAACCCATCCCATCCAATCGCACTTGTTCATTTGTTTATCCGTGGCGAAAGTTTTTCTCCTTTCAGGCCACCACCGCCACTAGAAATCGTCTAAATAATTATAATCGATATTCATTCAATGAGCTCTGAAGACGAGGTCATGTGCAATAACGCGGCTGCTGTTTGTGGTTGCTGTTTTCGGGGGCTTTGTTTGCTTTTTCTATATAGGGAGGACGTCTGAGGCCCCCAGGCCGCGTGATTTGCGTGGGCGTGTGGGTGATGCTATGGCTAAACATCTGCCCGCTGCCCGCTGCCCGCTGCCGGCCGCCTGCCTGCCAAACCTCCCGCGCCAGACTTTTGCAACCTGTTGAGCATGCTTAGCTGCCAATTCTCTCGTGTTCTTTTTTGCGCTGTGCCACCGCGACGGAGTACATCAAAATGTTGAGCGGCAATTAAACAGAATTCTCCTACGCGCTGCGAAGGTGGTTTTCCATGGAAAACCCCTACAATATGCCAGTCCCAGTCCCAGCCCCCCCCTGGGGCGTTGTGTTGTGTGTTGTGCGTGGGCCGTTGCCAGACATCTCATAAGTTGTGTCTTGGCAATTTGCGGCCCATTTATTCAAATATTTCTCTCCCTCATCCACACTCTGCCCAGGTGGTTGCCTGCCGCGGACACTTCTCTTGTATATCTACATACATAGATTGTATATTAAGAATGTTCTGCCTAATCACGTCATTTTCAATACCAATTCCATTGAACGGTGTGCTGTGCTCAAGAAATATGAATGTGGGGATGGGAACACCTATGCGTTATGTTCGTGAACATTCCTCGAAATAAAGAAATCGAGAAAAAACCAAGGGAACAGCTGACAAGTGCTGCTGGGTGCCTTCTTTCGGTCTTTGGTCTCATCCTCTTCGCCCCTTAAGCGATCTGTGGGTCTGTGCCATATTTTCGATGTCAGAATCGTTGATGTTGAGGCAAACGAAATGTCGCATGTTTCTGTGACAGGCCGTTAATTAATAATTCCTCGGACACCGTGCAGCGATTGCAGATCCCAGATTGGTAATCGCAGATGACACGAGCGGAAAGTACACGCGGGGCGACCACAGGCACTGCTGGCGATCGATCCCCAAAAACACTTCTCAGCACTCCAATTGAATCAGTGAATCATCCATCCTGCCCCCCCACACACACACACACTGACCCAGGCAATGCCAAAGAAAATCCACGAGTTCCATGAACATTTCGTGTGGTTTTTTCCATTTTCCACCGCTGCAGCGAAGAGATCTGCGCAAATTAAGGCGCACACTGCATGGCCTCTCTGTCCGTCCGTCTGGCCGTCTGTCTGTCGTAGCCGTGTGTCCATTCATTGCCAATGGGTGAGGAAAGTTCAAAGTCCTGTTAATGTACACAAAAAGCCAAAGAGAGAAATTCTGGATGGATGGATGGATGGATAAATGGGCAACAATGGTGCAGAGGCGTTCCAACGAGTTGGAGGTGGCCTCAGTGGCCTTAACAACGTCGTACAATTTTCTTCGTCTCCCCATGGATCTCTATTTATAGATGCCTTTTTGCTAGGGACTACGGGTACTACGGGACTACGCGTACAGATGGACAAGGGTGGAGAGATGTTTGGTTCGGGAATAGTTTACATTTTAGTTCAAACTTGAAAATGTAAATGCATAATAAACAAATCTCAGCGCCAGTCTGGCCCATCCATGACTCTGCCTCAAGAGTCAATGCCACGCAGAGGATCGGACCCGACCAGAGGATCCCATCCCCCCACACCCTTCCCCATTTTCAGTCTTTCAGAATTGTTTGGATTGTTTATGCCAGAGGCGGGGCGGGCCCTCATCAATCGTTGCCTCAAACTGCAGTTCAGTTCTCGATGGATTGTTTACTGGTCCATGGAGATAAACAACGAAAGGACACAAAGGATCGTTCCGGTGGAAGGAGGAAGCTGTATAATCACCTGTAAATCATTTGTGATAATTTCCCTATACATACATATGCATGTATATATCTTTTGACCAAATTAGTTGTTGTGCTTCCTCCAAGATCTACGCAGTTTTTCCCACCGCTTACCGATCACTGAACAACGCATTTTCCAACCTCTAGAGTCTAGACAATGGCAATCATCCCAGATATCAGCAGATACACACATATACAGATATATCTCTGTTGAATAGCAACCATTTCCCCGTTCTAAGCTGTCACTTCTCTTTTCCTTGCTTTCTTTCTGGGCGAAAAAGACTTCATTTTTCGCATCGCATCGCACAGAATTAGGGGCACAAGAGGCCGAAGAGCCCGAGAGCCCCTCTCCCCACAGAAGCTCATTGCCAATGCAAACATTTCTCACGTAAATGTCAAAATATCAAAAGAAATAATAATATTAATTTAACAAGTGTGGTGGTCATTTTGGGTTTCGTATCGTATCGTATCGGATCGGAATGAGTTGTGGTTGTGGTTGTGGTTGGGTATGGGGATGGGGATGGGCATGGGGGGTCTGCACTGCACTGCCAGTCTTTTGACTGTTTTGCATTCACGCGAATCTTTTGGCCCAATTTGCCAAACAGATTTTTGTCTTCGATTTGGTGGTGGCTCTGCTGTTCCTGCCCACAAATTATAGTTATGCATTCTCGTGCCCAATGGTATTGTGTAATCCACAAAAAAGGTGGAAAAACACGAGGCAAAAAATGCTGAAAATCTTTTAGAAGAAAGTCCCCCTCGAAGGGGCGACAATTACTTTCACTTTCTTTCCACCAAAAGTAATTGTATTTTCTTTGCTTTTTTTGTGCCAACTCACCCCACACGCAGTTTTTTGAAAATATCTCTGGGCAGCAGATTCCGCTTCTTGTCGCCCTCTCTCTTTGTTTTCCTCTCGGCGGGGTATAGGTGGCTGATGATTCAGATGTCGATGCCAAATCAATAATGTATTACAGACCCACAAACACACACGTAGATATCGTAGATATCCGTAACCGTATTCACATAGAGCGACACGCGTTTCACTGTTCCTCTCGTTCGACTCGAGATTTCAAATTTCATCACAAGTCAAGTGTTTGCTTCGATGTTTGTGTGTGTGTGTGTGTGTGTGTGGTGTGTGTTATGGGGTGCTCTCTGGTGGGTGGTGGTGGTGCTGATCGATCGATGTGCTCGATGATCCTCGCCAAGTGTCAAACCGATCGAACCAGTCGAACAAACGGTACAGACGGGGGCAGTATCCGCTGTCCAAAAGAAAAGCGAACGCAACGCAACGAGATCCTAGGAAGAACTGAATCTTCAACGGAATGCCACTTACAGTTTTTACATCAGCGGCGGTACCGAGCCGCGAGCCACCATCCACGATCCGAGAGAGACGTGGACGACAGCCAGCAGCTGTTTGCCGCCCGAGGATCGTCCGACTGAAGAGAGAACTTGGGGAGACGACTCGGGCGATCGGCAGAGGAGAGACCGGAGCAGATCGGACGGAACAAGTGTGTGCGGTGTGCGGTTTATAAATAAATCGAAAATACGAGTAAATGTTTTCATTATGCCTCCTCTCCCCTGCTCTCTCTGCTCTCTCTGGCTCCGGCTACGGCTACGGCTCCGGCTCCGGCACCCTCTCTCTCTCTCTCTCTCTCTCTCTCTGTCTCTGACTGTATCTCCCACTGATTGCTGAAAATGGAAAAAATGTTTTTTTTTTTTGTGTAAGTGCAGACCAGGCAGCAGGCAGCAGACAGGCAGGACCACTGCGCAGAATTTTCCTCCTAACGAGCCAGTGTCAAAAACCTCATAGAGTGTTGCGTTGAGTGTGTGTCTTTCCCTTTGCGTGCCCCCATGCTGATCTCCCTATCTCTCTCTCTCCCTCACTCTTGCGCTTCGTGGTTGGGCAGTTTTCACGCTGTTGCCGGCTCTTCTGCTTCTTCTGTGTATGGTTTTCCCTCTGCTTTTTACCGTGTGACGCAGTGAAATGCAATTTGGCATTTGTTTCGTGCTTTCGGCGGACACCCAAAATAGATTCCGCTCACCTGTACCCCATACCACCCACCCCCCTTAACCCACCTCTCTCTCTCTCTCTCTCTACTATTTTCGCTCTCTCTCTCTCTCTGTCTCTATTTTTCTATTCCTCCCCCTGGCTGGCCTTTGAAGAAGTCAAACGAATTCCACACAGGTGTTGTTGTCTTCGCTTCTCTTCTTCAGCTTTGCTTTCCCTTCTCCTTCTGCTTTTCCGGCGTAATGAACTTAATGTCGCCCCGTCAGGTGGTGGGAGGGTTGAGGTAGGGGTAGGGTGGGGGGTTTGGCTATCGGTTCGGACATATTTATGGTTCATTTTCTATATTCTATAGTCGATATGATTTATGTGTGTGCTTCGGGGACAGTTGGTTCTGGTTTAAATTGGTTTTTGATGTTGCACAAAAGATTTACAGATCAGGCATGAGACATCAGACATCGGAGAGCGGATAGCGGAGATACATCCCCGTCCCTTCCCATCACCCCTTTGCAGTGCTGTTTTCGCACTTCTTTTTTGGATTTTCACACTTTACAAGTTGCAGCCCACGCACTTCACGAAAGACAAAGGAAATCGCAGCAGCCGGCCAAAGGGTGTGGCAGGGAAAGACAGCGAGGAGGATGGATGGTGGGGCGACTTTGTCTGGCGCCAACATGGAAATGCAATTTGAATGGTAAGGTCAAGATGGGGGCCAGTGCCATGCCTCAGAGAGAAAGCTTTGGACCAAGGAAATGCCACTGGGGATGAGGATTGGCATGGGGTATGGGGGGTAGGAGGCCGACCAATGTGTGGTGTGACATGTGCTAAAGACACTTTGTGGCAGCAGCGTCGACTTTAATCACGGCAATTAATAAGAGAAGAAAGGCAGAGACAGGCGGAAAAGGAGAAAGAGAGAAAGAGAGAGGGACTGGGACTGGGACAAAGGAAGGAAGTGTCCCATACCATCTTATGGCATCTTAAAGCAGCCCCATCCAAGATTCAACCTCTGGGTAGATCTGCTGATCAACAGCCCCCATCAGACAGCAACTAAGCCCCAAGACAGGCAAGGCGAGGCGAGGCCTCACCCAGAGCAGAGCGAGATACCATTCTGGAGACCGACAACGACTGGCGGCCATAAATCTATTTTCGTCCTGGTTCCAGCCAGGCCACCGTCACCGTCACCTTCCCACCCCCCATCCCGCTCCCTGGCTGTGGCTTTGGCTTTGGCTCTGGCTGTGGCTCCACTCCACTCCACTCTCTCCTCACTTGCTGCGCAATTGCATTGGCCGATCTGCCATGCCATGCGGCAGGCAGCAACTCCATCTCCCCGTCTGTGCTCCGTTTATTAAGTGCCCCTGGATCTTTATTTTTAACTGCTGCTGCTGCGGCATCTCTGGCAACGTGGCATCGGGTGGATCGTTTCTTTGCGTAGGTAAAATGCAACAAGGGTACAAGTAAAAGTAAAAGTAGAAGTGTGGGGCCACCATCCTCAGCCCCCCGTTCACACATCGATGTGTCGAAGAATCGACAACCACGTCCGTAAATTCCATGCCAGACGGAGGTTCTCCAATTATTTACACAGATAATAAATAAGCGGAATCGGCCTTAATGCGAAATTCAACAGCCAGAGGCGAAATAAAGAAGTAAAGAAAGAGGGAAATCTTTTCTTTTCTCTTCTCTTTTGCATTTCTTTTTCTTGCCTGCCAGCAATTTCTTCGACTCGTCTGTTTTTTTTGTAAATAATTTTATAATTGATTGTTAATTGAAGGCTTTCGGGGGGATGATCATGATGCGGTTGCGGTTCCATAAATTAAACGATAATCTTTTCGGGGATTGGATCTGAGAAATCTGTGAATTCGGGAATTATGCCACGAGCCAAAAGACTCGACTCCACTTGAGTGGAGATCTCAGATCTTTTGCGATTATGTACTCGAGAGGTATAACTTATATCGCATCGTGTGACTTCATCACCCACTTCTCTCCATGCAGCATCCTGTTTACAGGAATTCCTTTTGCTCGTACAACACTTTTGCTCAAGGGTTGAGGCGGATGGATGAATGGTTGGATGGATCTTCCTCCCTCTCTGTCCCTCTGTCTCTCTGGAGGGGCAGCACCTGACACGGCTATGGCCCAGGCCGGATATGTGTGTAATTCCTGTGCGAGGAATCAGAGCTGCAGCAGCAGCAGTTGCAGTTGCAGCTGAAGTTTGGATCGTGCCGCGGCTTGCAGCAACATCATAAAGTTCTATTTATACAGAGGCTGACAACAACCGACGGATGGGGGGATGGGTGCAGCACTGGACTCTGATTCGTATTCGGATTCCGAATCGGATTCGGATTAGGGGAGTTGAGGATGCATGGAGAGGCGGCGACGAGCGCACACTCACGCACAGGGGAAGTTCAAACTCCAAATCCAAATCCACGGCGCTGCTAAATTTGAACTTTTTGAAGAGCAAGTGAAGCGGCCAACCGATTCCGTAGGTGGCTGCCACTTGGCAAGGGCCACCGTTGAGGAGGAGTGGAAGGGAAGGTGGTGGGTGCGTGGCATGTGCCTCAAGTGGCGGCAGTGGCTGTTTATTGACGGCTCCGAGCCTCGAGCGAAGAGTGCAATGGAATGGAAGCGAAACATCAACCGTGTCAAAATTCAAAGAAACAAAAGCGGAAATGTTGTTGTTTTCTTTATTTTTAACGGCGGAAAACATTAGGGAAAACTAAAACAGAAATCATCACTTGGATGGTAATGGAAAACTTGCTTTGGTCAATGAACTTTCCCATCTATATTTGGCCATGTCAGCGAATTGAGTTATTAACCTGAATATTAACCATATACTCTCATCATAGATAGGTACAAAGTTCTTGAGGCTTGACCAGAATATAATTTATTTCTTTTAATTTTTATTTTACAATTTCCTATCCCATATTATTTAATAACATTTTTCTAATATTTCTTGCAGTTTTCGTTTATTTAATTGATTTTACCGCCTATATTATCGATTATCCTCTTATCGATATCGAAAGTGCTCATAATTGCGTGATAATGCGGAGCGTGCGATAGTTGCACCTATCGTTTTCTAACCATCGCTATGACAAAAGCAAGAAGCGAAAATTGTTGATTTTTCGCGAAAAGTGGTTAAAAAAGTGTCGAAAACAATTGGAAAAGTTCATAAAAATATGAATAACAGTGATTGGAACTGAAAGCAATCGAAAACACACATTGCAAAAGGCGATAAAGCCAGAAAAACACGCAATCAAGGCAACAAGCGGCACAACATGGCGCCGACACCGCTGCCCCTGGAACAAATGGCCGGCGTTGGTGGCTACTTGCCAGCGGGCCAGGAGGGCGGACCGAGAATCAACACCATGTCCATGTCGGTGCTGATCGATTTTATCATCCAACGCACCTACCACGAATTGACGGTGCTGGCCGAACTGTAAGTACACCCATAAGAAATGCGAAAAGTGAAATGCGAGCTTAATGCGAATTCTTTTGTATACACAGGCTGCCGAGAAAAACAGATATGGAGCGCAAGATTGAAATCTATAATTATGCAGCCCGCACACGGCACTTGTTCACTCGCCTCAATGCGCTGGTAAAGTGGGGTAATTCGGTCTCCAAAGTCGACAAATCGTCGCAGATCATGAGTTTCCTGGACAAACAGAACATGCTGTTCGTGGAGACGGCCGACATGTTGGCACGCATGTCGCGCGAGACACTGGTGCGCGCCCGCTTGCCCAACTTTCACATTCCCGCTGCCGTTGAGGTGCTCACCACTGGCACCTACAACCGCTTGCCGACCTGCATACGCGAACGGATTGTGCCCGCGGATGCCATCACGCCGGCAGAGAAGAAGCAGACCCTGTTGCGCCTCAACCAGGTGATTCAGCATCGCCTGGTGACGGGCAAACTGCTGCCGCAGATGCGGGAATTCCGCATCAAGAACGGTCGTGTCACCTTCGAGGTGAAGCACGAGTTCAGTGTGGCGCTCACTGTCATGGGCGACAGTCAGAATGTTCCCTGGCGTCTGTTGGACATTGATGTACTCGTGGAAGATAAAGAGACGGGAGGTAAGTTCTTTAATTGGTTTCCCTTGCATTTCTCTAACTTATTTACCTCCGTTGGTAGATGGGAAATCCCTTGTTCATCCACTGCAAGTGAACTACATCCATCAGCTGATCCAAGCGCGTCTGGTGGAGAATCCCAATGCCCTGAGCGAGGTCTACAATTGTCTGCACTACTTCTGCCAGTCGCTGCAGCTGGAGGTGCTCTACACTCAAACGCTCCGCCTGAACTACGAGCGGCTGGACGACAACAACATCACCGTGGAGGAGTATGTACCAGGCGTTAAGTTGACCGTCTCATACTGGCGGGACCTGAAGTCGGAGCTGGGCTACCGTCTCACTGTTCAGTCGGATCCCAGCGAAATCGGCCGTCCGCTGGCCGTGGTTCATGTGCCCTCGCTAGGTGCCAAGGAGTCGGCGGAGGTGGCCGATCGCGCCGTCCGGTCCGAGCATCTATCGATGGAGCGGCTGATTGTGCACACGGTGTACATACGATCCGTGTCCAGACTGAGCGACTTGAAGCTGGAGTTCCAGGCCTTCCTCAAGGATGTTGACTGTGAGTGTAAATGTTTGGGGTTACCGCGTTAGCGAAGGAACCAACCTGAATCTCCATGATCTCCATTGCAGTTAACCTTCAGGGCACTCCGGCAATCCTCACGGTGCCCGTTCTCTCGCCCTGCCTGCGAGCGGAGCAAATCCACATTACCATTGACACGCACACGGGCATGTTCCGCTGCCACGTGCCCAAGCACTTGGACTGCCCCATCACGGAGGATATGCAGGAAGCCTTGAACGCAGATCGGAGTAAGCTGCCATCGCTGCTCTCGGAGCTGCGCTATTGGATCACTCATCGTCGGTGCGAGAAGACGCTGCAGCATCTTCCAGCTACAGCCACCGATACGCTGACCTTCCTCACGCTGCCCGAGCAGGAGCTGCTGCAGCAGGGTCGCCACAAGATATACGTGAAGCTGCACAGGCATCCCAATATAATTCTGGTAAGCCATGGACCCTCAATCTCCTGGAAGTAGCATCTTAAAACGCCCCTCCTCTTGCTCCTACAGGTGGTTCAGTTGAAGGAGAAGGCAACAATGGCAAACGAAATGGAATACACATTCCACTTGGGTTTTGTGGCCTTCCAGAAGGATGAGGCCGACGTTATAGATGATTCTGCCAAGCAGCTGGTGTCCGTGGTGGCACAGCCGCCATCGGATATCCCCAAATTCTTCACTAAACTGATGCGACTCATCGAGTTTGACACATTTGTGGCCACCCATGGACCCGGCACTGAGGTGGATGGTGAGCAGATGCAACCCCCAGAGGGACTGCCCTTGATTTACTAACAGCATTTGCATATCCTTGCAGCGGAGGTTTCTCCACACAAACGCAAATCTACTGGCGATATTCTAGCGCCCCCAGCCAAGCAGCAAAAGACAATATTCCCCGCGTACTTCATACCCGAACTGGCGCACGTGGTGGCCATGTGCGACGAGAAGATACCGTTTATGAATCTGGCCCAGACCCTGTCTAAGCACAATATTCCGCACAGCGGCCTGCAGGTGGAGGCGAATGCCACATCGTTGGTGCTGAAAATTCTGGCGCTGCCACAGCCAGGAAAATCGGCCACAGCATCGGGTCAACAGACGCAGCAGGGAGCTGCTTCTGGTGCTGCCAGCGAGCCCAAGCCTCAGCCGCTGAGCGGCTCCTCCGCTTTCCCCAAGATCGAGCCTCATGTCTGGGACGATCTGATGCGGCGTGTGCTCTCCATTTCGGTGCGCTCGCAGACGAACAAGAACAGCCAAGTGAGAATTTGGGTGGTGGAGTTCGTCTTCTACAGCACTCCGCTGCAGAGCTGCCATCCAAAGGAGCAGGGCAGCCGGCGCACCGTTTACTTAACCTACGAGCAGGCCAATCACGACTTCTCGAAAACAGTTGAGGAACTGTTGAACGACTGGTCCAAGATTGTGTACCTCTACACGCTGGTCCATGACTTTGCGGAGCAGTTGAAAAACAGTGAGTAGTCAGAGGGATATGGGAGAGGGTGTGGTGCCCTTGACTAATTGCCTCCCTCTTGTGCGCTCCCTCCAGAACGCCTTCCGCTGTGTGACATGCTGGTGGTCAAGTCCTACAGCTACATGAATCTACTGCTGGGATATGGCCCCAAGAAGGAGGTTAGCTGCAACATCTACTGGTCCGTGCAGTCGCACGGCTTCCGCTTGACCTTCGTGGGAGGAATGTCGGCAGTGAATGCCCACTCGATGATGCGGGACCAGTTGGCGCAGCATCTGAACCAGCATCACAGCCTCACACAGATTGCACAAATCCTGCACGAGACCTACTATCCCATGAGCTCCATTGCCAAGCTGCCAGTGCTGCCTTTCCTGGGAATTCCTGTAAGTTCACTCATTCCGAACCGTAGCTGATCCATTACCATTGATGTGTATTGCTCTCTAGCGCCCACAGGTGCCCGTGCTCTCGTTCTGCATGCTGGCCCAGTCGCCCTGCCTAATGCGTTTGACCTACCAGGCGGTATACTGCCTGGAGCTGCGCTTCCGGGCCAATCGTCTTGTGTCCATTCGGGATGGAGCCAGCAGCCGCTTCGAGCGGAACATAATAGAGGAGTTCACGCCCATACAGGGACTGAAGGCGTTCTTGTCCAAGTACGTAGATGAATCGGCAGCGTACCGGGGACGGGCGCCACACGAGGATGACAATCCTCTGTCGCCCATGGGAATGGAGGATAACTATGGCGGTCCCAGCAGTGTGACGGGCGTGAGTGCGGGCGGTTCGTCACCATTCCTGGGCGCTGGCATGAGGGGACCGCAGTCGCCGAGGGACAGCGGACTACGCTTCCCGGCACCGCACACGCCACCGTCCAGCTCGAACCCACACACGCCCGCCAGCCCCCATCCGAGTGCAGGAAGTGGAGGTGCAGCGCAGAGTCATGGAAACTTTAACTTGACCTCGCCGCCAGCTCCGCATATGCCGCATCCCTCGCCGGGCGGACTGATGCCTTCGTCGCCCCTGAATCCCCAGCCGAGTCCCCACATGGTACACAGTCCCGGTCCCAATACGCTGTACATGCAGAGCCACCAGGACTCGCCCTTCACAGCCATGTCGCCGGCGAACAACCAATGGCCCGGATCCCCAAGCATGCCACGTCCCTCGCCCCGGCCCGGACAGAGTCCGGAGCACAAGAGCACGGGAGGCAGCGTGGTGGCGGGTGGCCCAGATCGTGGAGGATCGAGAGGCACCCTCAACCGACCTTGGGCTGGTGCCGTGCCCACTCTGCTCACCCACGAGGCCTTGGAAACCCTGTGCCGGCCTAGCCCGCACCCGAACAAGGATATCAATGTGACGGACATGAGCCCGCTAGAGCGCTTCCTCGGCTGCGTCTACATGCGCCGGCAGCTGCATCGCAACATCCAGAGCGAGGAGTCGCTGACGGCCCTCAACTCCACGGAACCGGGAGTGGTGCTGTTCAAGGTGGACGGACTGCAGTGCCAGGTGATGCTCAACCAGATGCACATGCAAACGCTGCACCTGAAGATCACACAACTGCCGTCGCCGCCCGACAAGCCCACATTCCAGCTGAGTCCCGACGATCTCCTGGTGATTGAGCAGTACTTCGACACCCGAGTGGCAGCCCCGCCCTATCGCCCCAACTCCCTGCACAGCATCTGTCGGCTGCTGAATCTGCCCGCCCAAGTGCTCAAGGATTTCGTGCAGATCATGCGACTGGAGCTGAAGCCAGAGTTTGGCGGGGATCAGCTCAAGTGGACGGTGCAGATGTGCATGCGAATGCCGCCGTCGGCGGTACCCATTGTGCCCAGCGGCAATGCCTGCGTGGTGCTGGGCAGGATGAAGATACTGTTCTTCCTGCAGATCACCAAGATCCCGTACAATGGCAAGGACTGGAAGGACAGCCCCTCGCTGGTGCTGCCCATCGTCTACGACATTACAACGAACCTCACCCAAATGGCCGAGCGGAGGGAGCAGGTGCCCTCGCCCATGATGACGGCGGCCAGCACACTCCTGCGCCGCTTTGCCGAGTTCAATTCGCAGCAGAATCAGTGCTCGCTCTTCCCGGCCATCACGGATCTGCTGACCAATCTGCAGCTGGCCACGGACATGCCCCAGCCGCCGCCCAATCAGGCCATTGGACCACCTGTGGGTGTCGGCGTCGGCGGTGTGGGAGTTGGCGTCGGCGTCGTCGGCTCCAGTCCCAATCCCATGATGCCAATGCAGCAGCTACAGCCCCAAGTGGGACCCCAAGGACAAGTTGGCCCTGGCGGCTACCCACAGCTTGGTCCGAATCCCGGCGGTCCGCAGTGATGAAGGCGTAAGCGCCGTGCCTCCTCACTCATGCCGTGAGCAGACACCAGAAACGGCGACCAACCCGATCGATCCCATCCCCCAACTGCTGCACATCTACTTATTCGACAAAGAACTTATTTCATAAGCAGAAAGTGCGGCCAGTTCATTGTGCACTCTCCTAGGCAAACCGCACACCGTGAACCGTAAACCGTTTACTCTTAAATCTATAATTGATATTGATATTTGTAAAGTGGCAAGAGAAAACTGTTTATACACATCGTGAAATAATATTTATTTCCTGTGCTCGCTCCCAGGAAGATCTACATATGTACAAGGGGATCGATCCCCTTGATATCTGGAGATTCTTGGAAGCGAACGGAAATGTTGATACTTATCAAGAAATGTAACCAATTGTGTGTTTTTTTGTTGTTGTTTTGAGCTCCAGTTTGGGAGCAATTCAGGCCAATAGAATGCATTGTGATTTTGTGTTTACGGTTTATTGTGCTATACGCCGCTGAATACACATCCACATCCAAGATGATCCATTTAAACAATACAAAGTGCGGCTAGGTACGAGTATGTAATCAAAATACTAACTAGATGTAGGTTTAAGTGTAGGTGTAGGTGTATTGGTAAGTGTGAGTCGTACTTTTGTTTCTTCGTTACTAATGATTGTATCACATGGTTTTTTACAGCTTCGCCAGATGCTGCCATCCGCCCCGACTGCCAGAGATAGAGAGGTAGCTGGGAGGCAGGAGGAGATCTCTAGCAAGTGAATTGTGACTTTGATGCACCCGAGGTTAGTTATTGTTGCTATAATATATATATATATATCGAATATCTATCTGATCCCTTTTGTATTTGGCTTAGTTGCTGGTCGGACCGGGGTCTCCGTCTCCCCAACCCAACTATTGCTGTGCCGCAAGCTGTGTGTTGTCCATTTGGTTGGTCAGCTCCGAGATGCCCTCCTCCTCGTCCGAGACCAGATCGACCCAGTAGCGTAGCTTCTTGCCGCGCAGATAGCTGGCAGAGTTGTCAAAGACAACAGTGTCTGGAAAATGGAGGAATCTGGGTTAAAAAATCTCCCGTCAAAGTTGGAGGAGCAGCTAGTACTCACAGGTGGTGTTGGGTCGCGTGGAAATGTAGCCAATCTCGTCCATTTCGTTGGAGTAGACTGTGCCCAAGGGGACCTCGCTGCGCTTTTCGCCCGACTTCTCGTCCACACTGTAGATGCCGAACTTGATGTCGTAGTCGATGGTCCGGAATTCCCAGGAAAGTACCTTTTGTTCTTCCAGATTGACTTTAAAGTGAAGCTTCAGTTTGTCCCCCTTAGGCACCTGGGTGTCGGTGAAGTCCTTATCACTCTGCTGGCTACTCTGGTCGATGAAGAGATCCTCGGGCAGCTTACCACCCCAGACCATCATCGACTTGCACTGCGGATCTCCCAGCTTGTCAACCAGTTCGCCACCCCAGGCCTTGGGGAACCCCTTGGGATTCACATGCGAGAAAATCTGTTGCTGCCACTTGTCCACGCCCGACTTGTAGATGACAATCTTGCTGGTGGTGTTCTCGTCCAGGAACTTTTTCACTATGTTGAAGGCCACGGAAAAAAGCTTTGGCGCATTGATGATGTAGCACATCTTGAGCAGCTCCGGGAAGTTGGCCTCGTACTGCTTCACCGTGGAGATGATACACTCCGCCGCCGGACGCCAGGCGTATTGCTTCAGATTCACATCCTGCATGTCGAAGAATACCACTAGCTGACGGGCCTTCCAGCCATGATCCAGACTCTGCTCGTAGGCGGTCTTCATGAATTGTTCGAGGAGCAGAACCAGATACTTTTGGAACTCGAAGCGTGTGACGCAGTGCATCATGCCCCAGATGTCGAAGTTGTAGAAGGGACACACCAGCACTGAAAGGAACAGGCCAAAGATCTTAGCTCCAGATAGCTTAACCGGAGCAATGATTGTGCACCTACCTGGCGATCCTTCCTTGTCGTAGCCCATCAGGCCATACGGCAAATACTCCTTCAGAGCCTTTGGAGGTTCCCACTTGTCGATGTTGTCCACATTCCACATGGCTCGTGTCTTCAGGCTCTGCATGGATAAATGTAAGTAATTATAATAATAATAGAATTGAAGTAATTGAGCCATTATGTCCTTACAGCTCTCAGCATTTTCTCAGCTGCCTCCAAGTTCCATTTGCGGGCTGTTCCAGAGAAAGTTTCGAATGGTAAGCAAGGATGTCTAATACATATTCTCGTGGGCAAACTCACCTCTCAGCCAGCGCAGTAGGAAGTAATCATCGTGAGTGTCGACGAGCGCATCGTCCATCTGCTTGCGGAACTATAAATTGAGAGTTGAGAGGATCAGTGATTGTTTCCCAAAGGATGTGATGAGACCCATCTGTATCTTATACACGCTATTTTGCAATAGATACCAGCCCACCCCAAAAGTATGCCGTGGTATTTTAATATATCTGACGTAAAAAGACGTCCAATCTGGTCGTGCCACACACACGATCCGAGTTCCAAAGCGTTTGAATGAACATCAAGAACGTTGCATGTGGCTATAGCTCGGGTATATTTCTCTTCCGATTTGGAAAATTCTGAGTTTCATCCCACTACTACTGTCCAGTTCGCTCTTATTTGTATCCTATTTTTTCCGTATTTCAGCATTACAAAAATGTATGTCTCTTTATATTGTTGCACTAAAAATTGATTTTGCTATATTTACATTTTTATAGTTCTGCACACCCCTGCACCTTCCAGTCTAATCTACCACATTCCAAGTCCCTGGACTTAATTTATTGATTGACTTGTCGAAGAAGGCCTTGCAAGAGACTGGAACAGGTAGCAGCAGTTCATTGCAGTTAAATCGGTTGCTTTTGCTATCTCCATCAGGGGCGATAATTTATATTTTTGTTGTGGTGTAAAAGGCTACCCATACGAATGTTGCCGTATTAATTGCTGTTAATTTTTGTTGCCCTTGTCCCAATGGCTGTTCATGAAGAATTTAAATTGAACTACATTCTACTCGATTCTACCTCAAGCTTTTCCTTGTTGACTTGACACATATTTCATTGGCTAACTACTCGAACCACGTACCTTGGTTTGCATTCATTCAATGCACATTTAACACAATTAATAATCGCTAAATTGACTGGTGTCTGGCTGGTTTAGTAATAGCTGATTCATTCCCACTCAATCCCCGTCTCCGTCCCCTTCCCAATTCAATCTTGGCTCTGGGCCAAACCACTTGAAATTCAATAACGAGGCCGTCTTGCGTTTGTCCGCTAACCGCTTCTTTTATTTTTGAGTTTTCGCTTTTCGTAGAGCAACTAAAAACCTGGTTGTTTGGCTTTTATTATTAGTGGAGAAGGCTGGCTGGTGCTGACTGGCGGAATGGCCAACTGGCCGACTGGCCCCCAGGTGACGGCTGGCTTAGTTTTTCACCAGCGTCGAATTCTGTGCGGCTTGTCTTGACTTCCTCATATCCAAACAGTAAGTCGTCGCATGGATTGTGTTTTTGTTGTTGTTGTGGCTTGTACTTGCCTATCGGCCACTGCGCTTTGTTCCACTGCTTCTGACTTTAGCTTAGTTTTGGAGCAGCACCCACCGCAGCCATCAGGTCTCAGATAAATATTCGATAAGCTATCGAAAGTGGACACTTTATTTGGCAAGTCTAGGGCGAACCGAAGCCCATGAATAATTGATGAATTAACATGAATAATGTCTATAAGCGATTGGCGATTGGCGAATGCAGCGAATGTTGTTTGCCTTTGAATTTAACGCTTCGGGATAAGTAAATGAGCGATTTAATGAGAGAAGATCTCTCCGGTGGTTTCCACTCTTCATAACTCTCCATAAAGTTTCTCTTCTTTTGTGTTCGTTTTCTACTAGTCCGATGAAACCTGTTGCTCTGGTGATTTATGCATATGTACATACATACTTGGGGCTATGTGATAACAGGGTCGGGGCTGTAGGTTCCCTCCGGTTGCAAGGGGATGAAGTGTCGTTCTGGGTTATTGCTCTCCACCTAGTTGTTCACAAACACTCAACACTCATGTTTATTTATAAACCCTATAATCGGCGTCATTCTGCCATAACAAATGACTAATCTCACTTAGCACTGCCCTCCCAGCAATTAAAAAAGGGCAAAGTCTGGGGATCTGGACCACAGTTCTGGCAGCAGGGGATGGCATGCAACGAAATTCTAGAATCTCCAGCTGCTGCTGGCAACCGGTTCGATGCCTTTTAACCACTTTTGGGGCTATTCAAATTGTATTCTGGGTCGTTTACTTGTCAACAGCAACAACATCGGTTTCCATTTCGATTTCGCAAGCTGTTTTCATGTGCCAGCCAATAGTCAGCAGCCAAGAACACATGAGTCGACACATGTGCAACTGCAGACCAAACCCCACCACATCGGAGCAATGGCCAGAACAAGTTGTTGCTGTTGTGGCGGCTACTCGTATTGCCACAGTGGTTCAAGTGCGTCCAGAAACTGCTAATCGAAGAGCAAGTCATGCAAAACAATGGCTAATTTCCACAGGTTACTGCTTTGTATGCCTCACTGGCTATTTTACGCAATCGAGAACATACAAGCCAATCAATTGGGTTACATCATTGGGGATTTGTGGTCGGAGCGCCAACAGAAACACTAAAGAGCAATAATGTATACTAAATTATTCCCAAGGGAAGCATTGGGTCATTCGGAACATCTAATTAAGGTCTAGGAAATTCTAAAATGTTCCATAGATAAACATGAACTAATCGTTTATAGTAGGGCATCAATCCATCAGCATATTCTTCTATTCGAGTGCTTAAGTATACCCATGGAATTTTATCTTTAATCAGCAACAAACACGCACCCATTCTTATCTTTCCCCAACAGATGGCTGATAGAGATACACAGATACTTCTCATCCCGTCTCATATTATCTTGCTCACCTGTTCCAGTGTGGCGCGCTGTTCCGCGCTGATTTCGGGCAATGGGCCGGACATGATGCTGTTATTGTTATTTCTACTACTAAATTTATTGCGTATCTTTTTATGGGGGCTTATCGACTGAGCGACGTTAATTCGGTTCCAATTTTGTTTGCTCTTCACACAGATGCACAGCAGCACACCAACACACATATACCAATGGGGGAGAAGAAGAAGAAAGGCAAAAGCGCGAATTTCTTTTCTTTTTATCGCACGCAAAAACGCAAGCTGTGAAGTCCGGTGGATGCGATGCTTTGGTTTCGATTTTCGGCAGCTGCTCCGCTGAGCAGAGCAGGGCTAGAGCTTTTTTAAACAATAAAAAACTTTCTACTATTATTTAGACGTTTGTTTTTGGTTGCCGTTACGATGATTACGTTGCCATTTAGCCGCACATTTCCCAACGCAATTATTTAAGTATTTTATGTATGTGTTTTGTTTGTGTTGTGTGTTTTATGTTTTTTTTTTTGGTGAATTGATGGCCAAGACCAGACAGAGGCGGCACTGAGACTCGGGGCTCAGCTGACCGACGATAATTACGATAGTTTCGACCCACGCTAGGCGACTACGGCACGCAAATGGATTCACAACAAACTGCGCTCGCGTTCAGATTCAGAATGTTTTGGTTTGCTGTTGATAATGCCCCAACAACCCAGAGCTCCACTGCCTCCAATGCTCCAGCAGCTGCTCGCTCTCTCTCTCTCTGTATGCCTCTTCAGCCGTTTTTTTCCGTTGCGTTCCGATGGGCTTGCTATGCTCTGAGTGGAAAAATCGATTAAAAGAGAAACAGAGAGAAGTGGCTCTCAGCCGCTTGTGGATACTCTCTCCAAGCTACAGGTTGTCTGTGAATATCTCTTACTCTTCTGCAAAACAGTAGTTTTTTAAGTACATATACATATATATATATTTGATCTTTCAAAATATTCCTACCTTTGGTGCAAAATATAATTGTGGGGGCGGTTTTTTTTAACAGAACTCTTATCTGGATTACCTCCATTTATGATGGTACTTAGCCAGTTGATACTCGTATTTTTGGCAATCAATTGAAGTGTTTGCATGTTAGTTGATAAGTTGTTTTGAATGCAAAAAAAAACACATATGTTTGCCTGCAAATGATAAGATAAGTCATTTTATGACCGTGGGGTCTATTTATTAGACATGATATCGTAAGAAGTATATGAAAGTATATTTGTTAAAATTAAATTTAATTAATTAGTTTAATTTGTTTTGACAGTTCGGCTACATGGAAAGGAATGTTAATTATCTATTTAGCGTAACATGTATATGGTAGTTTCATACATTTCAGCTTTTGTCAGAATCACATTCGATATTTGTTTGCTGACCAAAGCTCGTCCTATATGTAAATAATATGTAAAATACTCATGTACAAAATCATGATGTAGAGGATTAATAATGGATACTCTTTAATAAGCCAGCAGGGACTCGGGACACACCTCGGACCAGGGCTTCACGCGCCAAACCTAGTGGCACCTCCTTCTTCCCTCCCCTCGCCCTCTTGTGCGACGTGGCATACGCGTGTGCTGGTTGGCCATCAATGTGTAAGTTGCGATTTCTATCGACTGCCAAGTACCATCTTTTCTATGTGTAACAACTGTCTCCTTCCACAGGGAATCCATTTAGACCGATTTGAGTGTCATTAATGCACGTGTCTACAATTTCAATCGAAAGGGGGATCTGAAATCTTCAGGTGCGCAAAACACAAACAACTTCCATCTGGAATTCCTTTAACGTCCCATCTTTTCCTTTTGTAGATTATCCCTACCAGCCAACGGTAACATCATTATAGATGGGAGAGACTGAGAGATTGAATTCAAATAATTGCTCATCTGCGTATGAACTCTGGTGTTCGCCAAGCTAACGATTCATTTGGGTGCCACACCACACACTCACAAATGTGTGAATACATATAAACGTGCGTTTTAGCATTATTAATAAGCGGAAATCAACATTTGTACATAATACGATGTTACTTATATAAGTATGCCAGTAACTAATACCATAGTATAGTGTTTTGTATTGTTTTAGCAGTAACATGGACGGATCCGATGATCCTATTGGGCTTTGAGGTGGCTCAGAGGGGGCCTAGCTGAGGCCACCGGACGGGTCGCAGGTTGCGGATAGCGAACGGCCTACCCTAGTGGGTAGGTCAGCTGCGAATAAGCGGGCATCCTAAAGAGTATCAACTAAGTTGGCTCTGAGGGAGAGTACCGAAATAAGCAGTCCCGGACAGCCAGCGGGTGTTCGCGACGCAGCAACACTGACGATGCGCTTGTGGTGCCGCCTCTCATTAAGTAGCTCACACAATCCCATCCCTACACAACACCTACCCACATCCCAGCCCCAACACTCACCTCACACCGGGTCGGACTAAGGTGTCACTCGACCCGTGCCAAGAGTCAGCCTGGCTGGGGGCCCGGTATAAAAACTAGCCCAGTCGTGAACGGAGAGCTCAGGGACCTGGCAGCCCCCTGTTCTAATTATGCCTTACCCGGGTAACGCAGAGCTCTGCCGGGGTGGACCGTTCCCCTTCTCTGCAGCTCGTGGGAACTATATGGATAAAAACGAAAATATAAACAACAACAAAAACAAAAACGAGAGAGGCACTCCCCAAATGCCTGCAGGGAGAAATCCCAAGCGGGAGAAGGCAGCGGCCCAAAGGCCTGGCCCGATCCGCTCAGACGCAGGAAAGACCTGCACGGTGAAGGACGCGGGTATGAATCCGGGTGGGTCCCATCCCAAACCTGGGATGGGTGGAAAGACAACACCCAAAACTGATACCATGGTAGGGCAGCTAAGCAATATTGCGGCTGCTCAACCTTCTGGTGAAGCGGCGGGTGATGGCTTGCCATCAACCAGCGTCCAAACCAAAAGATTTAGTTATGCCGAAAAGAGGAGTGCTGGGCACATACTCCGTCGGCAGAACACAAGCCAAGAAGTCAGTCCAACAGCAGACTGGCTGAAGAAAGTGGAATGGGCCTCGGTGGTGTTGCCCAACTTCAGTATGGAGCCACAGAAGGTGGCCGCCCAACCGAAGAGGCAGCGCTCTCAAGAGACGCCCGGACCTGTCGCGAAGCGATCCAGGGTCGCACCAAATGTATCCTTCGCGCAGATTGCCAAGGAGAGGACGCTGATAGGCGTTCTCGACAAAGGCAGCGCGGAGGGGAAAATACCCAGAAGCCAGTGGAAGTGGGTGGAAGCGGCACTGGCCGACCGCTGCTTCGAGCTTCTTGAAAAGGATCCCGGGCCACCCCCAGTCTGCAAAGACATGGGATGGTTCCAGGGGAGCATCAAGGTAGTAGCCTGCGAGGATGAGCGCTCCGTAAAGCTATACAAAGCTGCGGTGGCGCAAATCGGTGAGGTCTACGCCGGGGCAAAGCTCGTCGCTGTGGACTGGAGCGAGGTGCCCAGTAGGCCAAGGGCCCGTATATGGGTACCGGCCACTTTCAAGGAGCCCGAGCGGATCCTCACGATGCTGCAAAGATGCAACCCCACACTGCCAACCTCAGACTGGAGGGTGGTCAAAGTGGAGGCATCAAAGGGCCCCACAAATCAGGCAGTGGTAGTCCTAAATAAGGAATCGCTAGCCCCGATCGAGGCAGCCAGAGGAGAGCTTAACTTCGGGTTCAGCTCGGTGACCATGAAGGTCTACAAGTCGGACGCAGCGACCGAGGCGCGTTCTGTCAACAACCCAGTTGAGCAGGACGTTGCCTTGGAGATCGAGGCACCCGAAGTAGACCCGGAGCCGGAGCCGGCCCTGGAGAGCTACTCCTCAGAGACGGAGCTGATGCTCGATTTTGAGGCGTTGTGTCGGGACGAGATACTCGACGACTCTGACGCCGACATAACAGTGGTGGAGAACGTTTCTAATGAAGTCTCTGAGGCTTCTGCAGATAAATCTCCACCACTGTAAAGCAGCATCCGCTGCCCTGATACTCCGCTTGGTCGCAAGCGGAGGGGACATAGTCCTAATCCAAGAGCCCTGGGTGGTAGGAGGCAGGGTCTGTGGATTAGCGACGAAGGACTACAAGCTGATTGTAGCCCAAACTGAAGGTAAAATTAGAACCTGCATATTAGCAAGGAAGCACCTAAATATCTTTCTGCTCCACAATTTTAGCAATGGCGACAATACGGCAGCTAGCCTAGAGCTACAAGGGACACGCCTAAACCTGGTGTCGTCCTACATGGCTCACGAGGAAAGCGATCCTCCCAGTGACCTCGTTCGCAAGATTGCCAGAGACAGCGAGAGGTCGGATACAAGCCTACTAATAGGCTGCGATGCCAACGCTCATCACACCCAATGGGGGAGCTCGGATACAAATGCAAGGGGTGAGTCACTTTTCAGCTTCATCCTGAACTCCAACCTAATTATCGGTAATCGGGGTAATGACCCCACTTTTATCATAAAAAACCGTCAAGAGGTTATTGACCTCACTCTATTGTCTCACAAACTGTCAGACATAATGAAAAGTTGGAGAGTCCTAGAGGACCACTCCTTCTCCGACCACAGGTACATCGAGACAATCTTATCGCTCGAAAGCACCATACCCACTAGCTATACTAATCCAAGGAAAGCCAACTGGGATATGTATAGTGCAAAAATGGAGGAATTACTCCCCCCCCTAGCCCCAAAATGCCCTGACACTCAAGACGATCTCAATCGTCTTGTGGACAATTTCACGGAAGCTTGCAACAAGGCCTTCATGGCAGCTTGCACCCCAACCAAACCAAGAGGGAAAAAGAAACCCCCCTGGTGGTCTAAACATATAGATACCCTCCGGAAAGACTGCAGGACTCTCTTTAACAGAGCCAAAAGCAGCAGCGAGGAAGCGCACTGGGAAAATTACAAAAGTAAGCTAACCCTATACAAAAAAGAAACAAGGAGAGCAAAAAGGGCCTCTTGGCACAAATTTTGCTCCGAAATTGAGGACACGTCAGAAGCCTCAAGGCTACGCAAGATCCTGTCAAAAACATCCCCCTCGGTGGGATACCTCAAGAGAACGGATGGTACGTGGACTAACTCTAGTGAGGACTCCCTACACATTCTACTCGATACTCATTTTCCTGGGTGTACGACCATCGAGCCGGCAGACACCCCAAGTGAAGGCCCGGAAACCTCGATGGGGCACATCCTCACAAAACGGAATATTAGCTGGGCAGTAAACAGCTTCAAATCCTACAAATCGCCTGGCCCGGACCAAGTCATTCCGGCTCAGTTGCAAAAAGCCGGGGATATGGCCATCAACTGGCTGCAAAGTATCTTCAGGAAGATACTGACAGTGGGAAAAATCCCCCGAGCTTGGTTAAAGGCTAAAATAGTCTTTATCCCCAAAGCAGGGAAACCCTCACACACAACCCCAAAAGACTTCAGACCAATAAGTCTATCGTCCTTTCTTCTCAAAACCTTTGAGAGACTAGTAGGGCTGCAGCTGAGGACAACTATAAATCCTCAGTGGCTGTCAGGCGCTCAACATGCCTACCGAAAAGGAAAATCCACGGAAACGGCACTCCATGAAGTAATCTCGGCGGTAGAGAAATCTCTACAAGTCAACGAATACTCCTTAATCGCTTTCCTAGACATTAAGGGAGCTTTTAACAACGTCAT